AAGGTCAAATCGAGTGATTCAAAAGCCTAACTTGACTAGAATTTCACAAGGAATCCATTGGAGGCATAAAATACGAGTTTCGGGATCGTTTGGCACGAGAAACGAGGCAGAATAGTTGGTAGAAAAATATACAAAACTAGGGTTTGTTCATTCGGTCATATTTTGAGTTGGGGAGCTCGGATTTGGGCGATTTTGGAGGCGATTTTCGCCATATGGATTGGGGTAAGTGTTCTCTACTCGATTTTAATTATAATTTATGAATTCATCTTCGTTTTTGGGATTTGTTTGATTATTTCAAAGTGAAATTGAGGGAGTTAGGGTTTGAGTTTTGGAGAGTTTTAAGTGAGGATTTGAGGGACCAAACGGAGTCCGATTTTGACAAATTTTATATGGTTAGACTCGGGAGAGGACGAGGATTATTATTCTGCCATTTTTAAATGATTCCGAGACGTGGGCCCGGGGGCCGAGTTTTGGCCGATTTCGAATTTTTGGCATGTTTATGTAGTTTTTATTGTGTAATTCGATTCTTTAGACTATGTTGATAGTAGTATTATGATTATGGTTAGATTCGAAGCTTTTGGAGACCGAGTCGAGGGACGAGGACATCCCGGAGTAGGATTTTACGCTGTTGAGGTAAGTAACAGTTTTAACTCTGGCTTTGAGGGTATAAACCCGGAGAGTTTGATATCATGTGATTGTTTGGTGGTGATACCCACGCTAGGTGACGGGCGTGTGGGTGTGCACCGCGAGGGATTGAGACTTGGTTCGTCCCGTGAGGTTGTGAGGCCTAATGGCTATTATCTGTGGTTATGTGTTTACTTGTTGTTGAACTTGTTTGCCTTCATGTTAGAGATCATGTTTAGGCTTTATTCATGCTCACATTAATTATACTCAGTCATTGAAATTATTGTACATGTTTACCTCTGTCTCTATTATTTGCTAATATGCTGTGATACTTGATGTGGTTTGTGTCCCATTATTTGTTGATGGTGGTGAGGCTAGTGAGGTACATGATTGAGTGAGACCGATGGCCTGATTGTGAGGATATTAATACCATAGCGCGTGAGTTGTCCGCTTAGCACGTGAGTTGACCGTGCGGGTCCAGGTATTGATACCATAGCGCGTGAGTTATCCGCGTAGCACGTGAGTTGACCGTGCGGATCCAGGTATTGATATGGTAGCACGTGAGTTGTCCGTGCTTAGCGCTTGGGCTTTGGGAGCCCCTCCGGAGTCTGTGCACACCCCCAGTGAGCGCAGAGTGTTGAGTGTATTGAGTGTTGAGTGCGAGTGCTGAGTGATGGAATGACATTGTTGTGAGGTTGCATTTACTTTTGTTGTTACTGCATTTACCTATTAAATTTCTTTGTGGCATTTACTGAGTTATGGAATTTACCTGTTTATTCCTGTTATTTTTAAAATTGTGAAAAATAAATAATTGGACTGTTTTGCTCAGCTCGTCACTACTACTCAGTTCCTTAGTTATTTATGTTACTACTGAGGTGGTTGTACTCATACTACACCCTGCACTTTATGTGCAGATCCAGGTGAATTAGAGCGCGGCGATCGTTGAGTTCAGGCCGACTTTAATTGGAGACTGCAAGGTAGCTGCCAGCGTCCGCAGGACCTTGTTACTCCTTTTGTCATTTCTTATTTTAGACAATTATATTTCTTAGTTCATAGTTTTAGACGCTCATCACTTAGTGACACCCCGATGGTTGTGACTCGTTTCCGTATTTTATATTTTTATATTTAGAGCTGGTTTAGTTTATCAGGAATTAAATTATTGGAAATATTTTATTAAATTCTTATAATCAGATTAGTAGTAATTTTGGGAATTGGCTTGCCTTGTAACACGATAGGCGCCATCACGACCAAGGTTAGATTTTGGGTCGTGACAATTAAAAGCAATAATAGGTGTCACAAACAACCTTCTGGACTCCATCAACGAAGCTGGTAGGGAAGATAACGAAAACACGACACCAAGCGCTACACCTGAGGGAGATACCTCACCTCCCCCGCACGAAAGCGTGACTGCCTCACGCGAGAGGGGAGCCTCAACATCCGTAGTAGGAGAAGAACCACCAGCTGTGAAAAGGCTATTGGAAGAATGGCTGTCAAACACTCTGAGCAACATACTTGATAAACCTGTTCAAAGGGATATCGGAGACGCAATACGCGCAGATACCGCAGCTGTCGCCGGTGAGCTGGAAATTCTACGCACATGTAACACTCATATTGTCGTTGATGCAGGTAACGATGCACTTGCAGCCATCTTAAAGAAAATAGAGGAAATGGAAAATGAGAACAAGACGCTCCGTGATTTGATGAAGGAGCATCAAGAAAGGGTCGATAAAATACCGGGCGCTCCAAAGTTGCTACCAAAATGAGACGTTGGCTGATTCGTCGAGCAACCATACAGTGAAGGTGAAGCCCCCCACTCCATCCCAAAACCATCTTCACCCGCTCGTACCATACAAATTATCATCGGCGGCGGCGATAATACGGTAATCAACCATATAATGTTCACCACTACACACAAACTCAAGCGGACAGTTGCTCACGAATGGTACAATGACCTCGAAGATAGTATCATCTTCGATACGTCAGATACCAACGGTTTGTCTTTCCCTCACTATGATGCTCTGGTTATAACTTTACGTGTCGCAGATACTGATATAAAAAGAATAATGGTAGATGACGGAAGAGGCGCGTGTATTATTCACCCTCGAGTCCTCGTACAGATGAGACTCGAGGATAAAATAATACCGCGCTGCATAACACTAACGGGTTTTAATAATGCAGTGGAACAGACCTCTGGAGAGATAGTGCTGCCCGTTCTGGCCAGAGGTGTCACTTTGGAAATGACATTTCACGTCATGAACCAGGAAACAACTTATAACGCTATCATAGAGCGCCCATGGATATACGCCATGCGGGTCGTCCCATCAAGTTTCTGTCAAGTAATCAAATTTCCTACTCCTTGTGGAATATTCAGCATCCGGGGCGAGCAATGCACTGCCCAAGAATGCTAACGAATCGCCCAAGATTGCGCACACACCCAGCAACTAAAGGGAGCAAGTGCGGAAGCATAGCAATCAGCCATATCGAGAACCAAACCCGACATACAAATAGAGGCCATCAAAGACCCAGATGTCATAGAAGCCTGCAAGGAAACCGTAGAGGACCTCGATCCCGTTCAATTGGACAACAACGGTAGCACAAGAAAAGCTTATATCGGGCACAACCTCTCAGAACCAGGTAAGTTCCATGAATTCTTAACTAACAATGCTGATTTATTTGCCTTTTCCCATTCAGATATGCCGGGCATCCCAAGGGACATCGCCATACACAGGCTGAATGTCGACCCCCTCCACACGCCTGTGCGGCAAATGAGGAGAAAGTTTAACGCTGCAATCAACGACGTAGTCAGCGAAGAAGTCGATAAGCTGCTCGCTTATGGTTCCGTCCAAGAATCAAAGTATCCTCAGTGGGCCGCCAATATGGTCATGGTGAAAAAGAAAAACGGGAAGGGGAGGATGTGTGTCGACTTCACCGACCTAAACAAACCATGCCCAAAAGATTCCTTTCCATTACCACACATCGACCAGCTCATCGATGCAACGACGGGGCACAAATTATTAAGCTTCTTAGACGCCTATTCTGGTTACAACCAAATTCTAATTGCAGAAGAAGACCAACAAAAGACCACTTTCATCACTCACCGGGAACGTACTGCTACAGATTCATGCCATTCGGACTCAAGAACGCGGGGGCAACATACCAAAGGTTAGTCACCAAAATGTTCAAAGAACAACTCGGAAAGACTATGGAGGTCTACATCGATGACATGCTAGTGAAGTCGAAAAGGAAGGAAGATCACATTGATCATCTGAAGGAAGCCTTCGGAATATTGAGGCAATACGGAATGAAACTGAATCCCGATAAATGTGCCTTCGGCATAACCTCGGGTAAGTTCCTCGATTTTTTGGTGTCGCAAAGAGGCATCGCGGTCAACCCAGATCAAATCAAGGCCATTGAAGGAATACCGGAGACATTAACCAGCAAGAAGCAGGTACAAAAATTGACAGGATGAATAGCCGCCCTATCAAGGTTCATCTCACGGTCATCAGACAGGTGCCATAAATTTTTCTATGTCTTATGGAAGGACCACAGACTTCAGTGGAATTCAGAATGCGTCGATGCCTTAAGAAAACTGAAAGCGTACCTGTCCTCGCCTCCATTACTCGTTTAGGCAGATCCAGGTGAATACCTCCTGGTGTACCTAGCAGTCTCCGAAGTCGCGGTAAGTGCAGTTTTGGTCCGCGACAACAAAGGTACGCAGTCTCCAATTTACTATATCAGCAAAACCTTAATTGATGCCGGAACAAGGTACCCCTACCTTGAGAAATTAGCTCTGTCATTAGTCGTAGCTTCACGAAAGCTTAGACTGTATTTTCAATTTCACCCCATAAAGGTGGTGACGACCTTCCCCCTCAGGGGCATCCTGCACAAACCTGAACTATCGGGTAGGTTGGCCAAGTGGGCCATAGAATAAGCAAGAACGATATAACATATCAACCGCGAACTGCTATAAAGTCGCAAGTGCTCGCCGATTTCAGTGCGGAAATATTGCCCGAAGTAGAGCAGGAAGCACTCCGCACTTCCGAACGATCTGACCTATGGGTCCTCTACACCGACGGCGCATCTAATGCGTCAGGATCGGGACTGGGACTCGTCCTCAAAGTCCCTACGGGCGAAGTGATTCGCTAATCCATACGGTGCCCCGAGATGACTAACAACGAGGCCGAGTATGAAGCTGTGATTGAAGGATTGAAATTAGCCCTCAAGTATGGCGCTCGATGACTCGTCCTCCATTGCGACTCTCAACTCTTGGTGAATCAATTCACTGGGACTTTCCAAATCAAGGAACAAAGACTGCAGAAGTACCAGTCAGAAATTCACAAAATACTACCAGAATTCGATGAATGTCGCCTCAACCAGATACCCCGGGTGCAGAATATAGAAGCGGATGGTCTCGCCAAGCTAGCGGAAGCCACCAGAAATACCAACAAAGAGAATGTGGTCACCCTTCTCCATTCCTCGATAGACCAAGTCGAGGTACATTCTATAAATTTAACTTGGGACTGGCACAACCGTATCATAACATATTTGCAGGAAGGAACGCTCCCACAAGACTAGAAAGAAGCCAAAAAGCTCCGAATACAGGCATCCAGGTACAGCCTCGTGAACTATGATCTTTACAAAAGGACGTTCGGCGGCCCCCTGGCCAAATTCCTTGGGCTAAATCAAACAAAGCGGGTACTAGAAGAACTACACAAGGGTCACTGCGGTGCCCATACAGGAAACCGTGCCCTTGTTAGATGCCTCATCCGCGCAGGATACTACTGGCCTAACATGAAAAAAGATGTCGCGGATTACGTTAGGAAATGTGAGCAATGCCAAAAATACGCCCCTATGATACACCAAGCAGGAGAAATCCTACATTTCGTCACTTCTCCATGGCCATTCATAAAGTGGGGAATGGATATTGTCGGACCCCTCGCTACAGGGCGAGGTAAGGTGCGCTTCCTTTTGGTTTCAGCTGATTATTTTTCTAAATGGGTGGAAGCATGTGCGTACACTCAAATACATGAGAAATAAGTCATCGCATTCATATGGAAATATAATATGCCGCTTCGGCATTCCCAAAGAAATCAGCTGCGACAACGGACCTCAAATCATCGGCAAGAAAACGACCGAGTTTTTTGAAAAATGGCACATCAAGCGAATACTCTCCACACCATACCATCCCGCCGGCAACGACCAAGCCGAATCCTCCAACAAAACGATATTAAATATAGTGAAAAAGAAGCTCTAGGACGCCAAGGGGCTATGTCCTGTACTGCTACCAGAAGTACTATAGGCATACCGCACCACGCCAAAAACTAGCACATGCGAGACACCATATTCATTAGTCTACGGGACTGACGCGATTATACCCGTTGAAGTCGGAGAACCTATCCTGAGATACTCCAACGAGAGTGTGCCAAGTAACGACGAAAGTAGATTACAAGACCTGAATGAGGTCGAAGAGCGAAGAGATATGGCTCACATAAGAATGATAACCCAAAAGCAACAAGCAGAAAGGTACTATAACATGAAGGCCAAAGTACGACCACTCAAAGTCGGGGACTATGTTCTCAAAGCTAAAACACAAGCAGCGAAAGACCCAAATGAGGGAAAACTGGGAACAAACTGGGACAGACCATACAAAATCACGGCAACAACAAATAAAAGAGCATTCCAATTAGAGACAATGGAAGGAAAACTACTCCAAAATAACTGGAATGTCGCCCATCTCAAATACTTCCACTTCTGAAAAGAGGCGCCGCCTAAGTCGTACTCTTTTTCCCTCACCCGGGTTTTGTCCCAATCGGGTTTTCTCGGTGAGGTTTTTAATGAGGCAACAAGAGATACGTCTCGAGGTCCGAAGTATTGTTCATTGCCCTGCCTGCCGACATCATCTCCAGGCCGAGAAATGAAGGGACTAGATATAGATAGTTAAATCTCATTGTATGTATGAAGCCAACATGTATTTCCGACAGGATAGTCAAATCTCCATTGTATGTACGAAGTCAACATATATTTTCGACAGGAATATAGTCAAATCTCCAATGCATGAATAAAATAAAATCGGCATTTGCGACACTCCAGCAGATACTGTGGCTAAGGCCATCATCAAAGTATAGGGTTCGACCTCACTCGAACCACGACGGGATACTACTTCGACACCAGCTCGAAAGTAACATCCCAATGGCTAAGGCCATCATCGAAGTAAAGGGTTCGACCTCACTCAAACCACAACAGGATACTACTTCGACACCAGCTCGAAAGTAACATCCCAATGGCTAAGGCCATCATCGATGTAAAGGCTTCGACCTCACTCGAACCACGACGGGATACTACATCGACATATGCTCGAAAGTAACATCCCAATGGCTAAGGCCATCATCGAAGTAAAGGGTTCGACCTCACTCAAACCACGACGGTATACTACTTCGACACCAGCTCGAAAGTAACATCCCAATGGCTAAGGCCATCATCGAAGTAAAGGGTTCGACCTCACCGAACCACGACGGGATACTACTTCGACACCAGCTCGAAAGTAACATCCCAAAGGCTAAGTCCATCATCGAAGTAAAGGGCTCAACTCACTCGAACCACGACGAGATACTACTTCGACACCAGCTCGAAGGTAACATCCCAATGGCTAAGGCCATCGTCAAAGTAAAGGGTTCGACCTCACTCGAAGCAAAACGGGCTTAATATTTCAGCAAAGGTTCGGAGTAACATGAATGCAGCAAAGATTACCACCGAATCGACAAAACAATTTTTCATTACAACAAAAATATTACAAGCACCTATCATTACAAAAGGCTCAAAGACGCCCTTACAAAAGTCGATTAGCAAAAGTAAATACAAACTAGAAACTACACATCATTTCCAGTGGCATACACATCTTTGTACCGAGAGTTGGAAACGAGAAGGTTCACATCATCAGAGTTAATATCATCCCCGTCAGGAGTGAGAGGATCGTATCCGCATGCCTCACGAGTTGCACGGGCTTTGGCACGCACATCCTAAAGTTCTACTTCAGACGCCCTCCCATCAATATGAAGAGCCTTGTACACATCAAGATGGGCTTCAGTGTGAACCCACAACTCATACAAACGACGAGGCACGACAGGATCAACCAAAGCACGAGATGTAGAAGGTTGCAATCGTCGGCATACGTCCTCCGTTCTCAATGATGCCACTTGTTCATTTAACGGGACAGCTCCGCCTCCAACTCCTGAACACGCCCCTCAAGCCCCGCAATCTTAAGCGCGGACGCCTCCACCTCCTTGGTCCGCTCCGACCTACAAACACATAGGGCATCTTCCAAAACCACCGCCTACAAAATAATAGTCGCCAATCTATCAGCACTCACGCTCAATTCACCCTTAAGCTCATTGATCTCCGCCGTCTTCATATCCAGTTCGGTAGTTAAATTGGCCACCTTTGCTTGGAGGTCGGCATTCTCGGCCATTACCCCATACTTAGCTCAAGCTCATCTTCCTTTACTTTAAGGGATGCCTCGAGCTCACTGTTACGGGCGATGGCCTTCATAAGATCCTCGTCTCGCTCCTTCAACTCCTCGACCTTACGCGCCAATTGATCCTCTCTCTGCTTGAGCCCTTCGCGGAACAGTTGGAAGTCAGGATCCTGATTGTAGATGTCAGCCATCGCACGATGCTTGGTGCGATATTCTTGATATTTAGAAGACATCTTTCCATAGATGTCCATCCTCCTCCTTTCCCGGTGCTCCCGCTCGATCTCCATGATGGCACAAAAAGTAAAGTTAAAACAAAAGGATAGGCCAAAAATAATAACACAAATCCAACGACGAAATGAAAAGAAAGACATATACCCGCAAGGCCATGCCAGAGACGCTCCGAGACAACTTTGTGTCGCTCATCGCTCTAAGCGCCTCGTTCTCAGGGGCAGCACATAAAGGGGCTAAACCTGATCACAATTCGACAACAAGTTATATTCCCCAGTGTGAGCACGTGATTTTTGCCCTATATGAATTACTCCCATAAATTCAGAAAAAAATTGCTTTAAGTGTTTGTAATTTTGTGGATTTTCGTGGCATTTTTCGTTAATTGTTTGCATTTTTGGTTTATGCATTTTAATTAGTAAAAAATACAAAAAATGTGTTACATATGCATTTAGGAGTTAATTTTGCATTTTAGGAATTAATTATTCATTAATTTTAATAAAAGGGAAAGTCTCAAAAAGAGTTTATTGTAGTTGTAATTTTGAATTTAAGGCAGTTTGTCCTTTAATTTGGCTTAGTTAATGATAGTAATTAGGAGTTAATTGTTTTGTAGTTTGTTATTTAGGTTTTATTTTAATTTTGAAAAGAAAAGAGAAGAAATAAATAAAAGGGGAATTAAGAGAAAAGGAATTAAAAGAGATTGGGCCAATTTTGGTTTTAAACACTCAGCCCAAACGGATTCCTTCCCAGAACCCGCCCCATCCAAGCCCAAACCCGTCCCTAACCCGGTCTCCCTTACCCCTTAATAATTGAAACGACGTCGTTTCATTAGAATTAATCCCAGCCATCAAGGTCTGATGATCAAACGGCTGGGAAGCTTGGACCACTTAATATATAAGTGTCCTAAAAACCCTACCCCCAAGCCCGTCTCTCTCTCTCACCCCACCCTAATCAGAGACATCTCGTCTCCGCCGATAGCCACCCGCCGAAATTCGCCCACGGCGGTGGCCGGCCACCAAACGCCCCCGAATTCATACCAAAGCTTCCCCTCCCTTCCCTCATCACGAACCCATCACCTATTCCCTTCGTATCTCACCAGGATCCTTCAAAATCTCGAAACCCTAGCCGCCGACCTCGTTTTCTCTAATGGCGGCGCCACCACCAATGGACCCCAAATTAACATCCCTGAACCCCCGTCTTTCCCTCAATCTAGAAATCCACTTTGTTTCCCTCGAATCTTGGTGTGGTTCCTCGAATCTAGATTTGAAGACAACCCTAGAAATCCCAAAGTCCAAATCGACGAGTCTGCGGAGGATTTTAGACCGTAGTGGCTTTTATTCGCGTGTTTTCATATGAAAACACATGATTAGAGGCTATTCCGGTCCGGAATTTGGGGAAGCCCTTCAAAAATTGGTCAAATCAGTTCTTAGGTATCAATTCTGTTCATTTG